TTTATATAAAAGCTTTTATTTTTTACTCACACTTACATCTTAGAGCACCCATTATGGAAACTAAAACATTTTGTGGTCTGTTTTAAGGTTGTGCTTTTGTGGTGTTAAGAAATTAGGATGATGATCTTCTTCTTTATCCTTGTGGGTTATTTGCAATTCCTATGAAATGTTTTTACCGAGGCACACATTGGCTTTTCATCTTGTTCAAAGATTTTTTCTTCAAGAAATTTTAAAGCTTGACCTTTCAAGCCTTTCATGCTTGAGCCCACATATACATGTGATCATATCTGACCTTGTTTGAAGCTGACATGTATCTCTAATTGAAATTTAACTTTGAAGTTCGGTGTTTTAACATTTGTAAAGCCATTCATGGTGTCCAAATGTAACAAATGTGACCAACAGTAATTTACAAATATGGTTGTAATTAATGTACTGTTGTCACTGAATTCATCATTAAGTGGTTTAATTCTTTCAAAACATTTATTTTACAAAAATAGAAACATATAATTCAATATGATTTATGGTGGAACTTTAAACATAATCCATATTTGTTTATTTTAACTCATGCTGGCAGAAAAAAAGGCATCTGCTGCATGTTCTCATTCTGGCAACTGCCACTGTTTAATGACCTCAAAGGAAAGAAAATCCTCCTTCTTCTTGTCATGCAAGGAATTTAAGAATACATCCTTTATTAAAGAAGAATATAGTCCTGCTGTGGAAGAAAAACCAAAAGCAGGCAAATCTCTAGTATTTTAATCTCTGTGCATGGCGGTGGTTTTTGAAGTCAAATAATTCCTGCATGAGAATCCTCCTGTTTGTCTTCAAAAAAAAAAAAATCTATAAGGCTTCCTGGTTAGTCTGAGAAGTGGAGTGATGCCAATAAATTCCAAGCTCCCATCATCACACACAAACACACAAATACAACCCAAAACAAGACTTGTCCACTCAGTAGCAGAGCACACAGGCCGCTGTACAAACTGCCAAGACTTCTAGCTGCAGGCTAACCAGCAGCTGAATGTCCCCCCCTCCCTTCGTGATGATGATGTGCTTGAGAGAAACACAGAATGAAAAACAGAACCAGACACAGGAAGGGCAAGGATGAAATAAAACAGGATCAGAGAGAGAGTGCATACATGTTATGTAAACCCCAGGTGGGGCTTGTCGTCCTGGATAGAAGTATTTTATCCGGGGGAATGACTGTTTCAGCTCCGCAGGTCTCGCCAAACCTCCCCTCCCCCACAAACACAAAGCCAGAGGGAGTTCTGATAAGATAATGAATTAACAATTAAAAGAGGGAAATGAAGGAAAGGTGAAGGGAAGAAAAAAGATGGGGTGACTGAGAGAAAGGAAATGGAGAAGAAATACATCCAAAGGTACAGACAGGTCTGCTGATTGGTGAGATGGAGAGAAGAGGGAAGAGAAGAATGAAATGCATAAAAACTCATTTCAAATATGTCAGTGCATAGTTTGGGAAACACTTCATCTTTTGCTCTTTGTTATTCAGTCATGTGTGCAACTTGGGAGGGTACGATCTATTTTCCCCAGAGCTGTGATTTGTATTCATCTGTTTACTTGTATCTCAGTTCAGAAGCAGCACAATCATGGGAAGAGATGCACATATCCCACACAACCACACCAGCCTGAGGGGCTGTTGTTGACAACAGCTTGTAATCTACACCTGATACATCTGTAGATCGTTTGTGCTGAAGCAGCAGGAGAGGTTTTATGGTCCCTGTCTGACTGCTGACTTTGGATGGGCTTCAGTGTTCCAAATCTTGACCTCTACTACTGCTGTGGAAATCCCAGCTCTGATCCCAGATCAGCACTCAAGACTGATTTTACCCCACTGAGCAGATGTAGAAATAGAAAACAAATAGTGGGGGGCCAGATCTGGGGCAACACTGCTCTCTAATGGTTCAGACATGGTGGTGTACCTGATAGAAATGACGTCAGTCCAGACTGAGTGTGTGTGTTTCTGTGTGTGTGTGTGGTGGATGTGCATTTGTAGTGTGGGGTGTGGCGTATTATCTTCTTCTGCTAAATACCATGATAAAAGACCCAGTAACAAATTGCAGTGTGTGAACAACAGTTGTCATTTTCAAATAGGTGGCAAGTGATGAAAAATGCACTGGAAAATCTAACGGGTTTGGATAGTTTTGTTGCCCCCATTTTCAGCCTCTGTGATTTTCGCTTTCACTCCAATATAATGAAGACAGCAGCAGTTCACTGACGTGGGTCAGCTACAGACCTCCGTCTTCATGGGGACTACTTCACTTGCAAGAAGTTTCAATGAAGCTATTAACAACAAAGTCTGTATATTATCTACTATAACTGGGACACTCATTTTGTGATGAAGCAACTCATCACAAGCTGTTGCTGTTGAAACGCTTAGTAATTTCAGTTTATGCACCAAAAGTGAAGTTCCATGAAGGCAGCTCTGCTGGAGGTAGATCCTACTCTCTAATAACCCCCAGTAGGCAGAGAGCAGGGGAGCTGCAGGAGGTTTCATCAATCATGGGCTGCTGTCCTAATTAGCATGGTGACAATCTTGAGCTTATGTTACAGCGGTTATGAAATTTACATAAAAGTAGTTTTACTTGAACACATACAGTAAGTGAGGACTCAAAGAAACAGAACTCAAAGTCTTGCAGACTACAAATGCAACATTGCAGAACAAGAGCTACTATAGTTTATACTGGGTAGATTCCCTAATTTGCATGATTAGAATTCCAAATGTCAGACTATAAACAGGTAGGTGGAAACCTTCCATAATGCAAAGCCAAGTTTTATCTCTAATTATTCATAGGCAAAAATGGCAGCCACACCAATGTCATTTCAAAATATTTACTTTCAATCATCAAATTAACTTTTTGAAGTATACAGTGCACTGTATGTTAAATGAGCCTGGATTTTATTATTCACATTTTGCTCCTTTTGGACTCCAATTTCTCTTTTTTCCCCATTTAATTTGAAGCAGCTGCCAGGTGGGCGACCACATCCATAGAAATTAACAAATTAGATATTTGCCCTTTGAGGACCCATCTGCTTTGTGTATAAATAACATTTTCATATTCCTTCTTGTTGGTTGGCATTTCAGGTTCACGGAGGCACAGCAATCAGGACTGGAGTAAATATGATTGAATGCCTGAGGGCAAACCAAGGAATAGGAGGATAAACGAGTAACAGAAATATGAAAATATAGCATTTATTATGATCAGACTGTATTTGATCTGTGGCCTGTACAGTATGCCGGGTAATCACACAGGTGGTTCTGCATGCCAAATGGACTCGCATCCTTGTTTCATCCCACACTCTGACAGAGATAAATCACGTATCATAAGCATTAATGCTTGCTTACCTTTAGAAACCAAATGAGTGCTGAGATCAAACTGAAGCCAGGCAGTTTTTGTGTGCTTCACTGGCTTTACTTTGATTTCGTTTTACTGTAAATGTGAAAATGAGATTTATTGCTCCAACTTCTAGATATTGTCCCTAATGTTGAGATATGTCCTTGCTGCACAATTTGTGCCTCAAAGTCTATAAAGCTTTATGTTTCCTCATTTCATCTTCCCTTCATGTCTCAGAAGAGGACTGAACACATTAATATGTCTGGTGACCTTTGGCAGATGAGACAAAATTAAAGGCTTCACACAAATCACAAAGATTTCACACTTAACTTCGTTTGTACCACTTTCTACTGAAGAAACTGTCCCTGTGAGCAGTCGTCACTGAGTTTCATGGAGAGCAGGAGGGAGATTATTTTTGGAAAGACATATTGCACCAGAGTTTGTCAGAGCTATATTTTCACTGCACCACAAACACCAAATCACATGACATTTTCAGTAGTTGGAGCATTGCCTTGGATGGACATATTGAGAATTAAAGACACTTGGCTGGTTTTTGAAAGTTTCTGTTGTCTGGAGAGTTATACCAGATGTTTAGCTCTATTTGTTGACACTGATGGGTGTTGAAACCAAATGTGCACATCTTGCCACCTGGTTTTTGCTCAATTCAAAATGTTGATGAATTCTTGCTTCTGCAAGAAAAGCTGTATATATCAAAGGCATGGAAAAATCTCTCTCTGTCCATGGGTGGGATGTGGCAGAAATGACTCCAATCAAGGCACTCAAAGTGGATGGTAGATAATAAAATGTCTTTAATTAAACTGAGCTAACACATTAAAAACACACACTTATCTTCTTCAGGATGCCTGGACACACAATGAACTCAAACTACTAATTAATGATTCCACACAGTAGTGCAAGTGCAAGCAGTGCATACATATAAGACCTACTAGACCAGGAGAGGAGGCTATGTTAAAGGAGACACTGAAACCATTAACAACTAGGGGCAGAATTCAACATGTAGCCACAACCATCCCATGTATTATGTAACTGAGCATCGCTATGCTGTTTGTAGTGAGAATACAACATTTTGCCGTGGCTAAACATGTGTGCCGATGTGCATTGATATAGTGTTTTCATGTTTTAGCCCAGTTTTATTAAAGGCATTTTATTATCTACAACCCACTTTGAGTGCCTTGACTGCACTGATTTCTGCCACAATCCACCAATGGACAGGGGCAGATTTTTTTCCATGTTTATGATATGGTATTATTTCTCCTTCAAGAGCACCAGTGATAGTGAGGGATACCAGAAGCACCCATTTCAAATTATTTTTTTCAAGAGCTGAATATAGCTACCAAGCTCATCCATAAAATCTAACAACCTCCAAAGCAGTGTAAAGCTCTACACACTGGTTCAGACCTAACGCCTGTGACTTTTTGTGTTGTTTATGCTATTAATCAAAGTTTGTCCTTTCCAGTCTTTTTTGAATGTTGCAGGACTTACTTGATTTATTGTCCAAGGCATCCTCAGGGGCATTTAAAAGTACAAACCTTATAGTATTGATTATTCATGCTATTCATCCTAGTAATCTCAGTTGGTCTTCACCAGTCTCTGTTGAATTGTAAAAGAAAAATTCTCATCTGCTGTCTTTCTTCAGGAGCACTCAAGGTCAGTGGACACATGATACGTCTGGGTCTTCATCCTCCGCTTCATCTCTCTTATCATCTGACATACAGCCAGAGGGTAACAGCAATACACTGTGGTCCAGTCCTCACACACACTGCCCTGTGGATTAACATGCAGATAGGCACAGACATACAAGCAAACGCATTTAGAAGAAGCACACATTCAAAACACACAACACAGTGCAGCAGGAGCACATTCAGAACCATGACGTACACACAGGAAAAGACATACAGAAGACATACACAGAAACTGACCCACACAACTTGAACCTGTGGGTGCATTTAGTAACAAACGGGACAATGCTTTTGAACTGATTATTTACTTTTCTGATAGCCACTGTTTGTAGCTTGAGACAAGTAAATCGCCCCAATGAATGTTCAAGTTTATTGTTATCTGTAAAGTTACATTATACATGTAAAGTCATGCTGGTAGAAGCAGGAACCATGTTGTGAAGTCTAACTGTGGTTGTCTTCAGGGATGCTCTGACAAGCAGCACAAAGTTTCACTTCCCATTGATAAATATTTTTGTATGTGAATACACACACTTACCCGTATCTTGTACCGCTCTCTGATCCCGACTCGTATGGCAAAAGTGGATCCTGGTAGGAGAGGCAGGCACAGACACTCACCGTACTGGTGAGCCAAACTCAGGTCTAAACAGCATGGCAACAGAGCCCCGAAAACACCTGGAAATGCAGACAAGTCAGCACAATGTGTGTGTCTGTGTGTGTGTGAGAGAGACAAAAGGTTTGTTTGTGATAGACACATTTATTCCTTAATACAAAACAATTACTTCAGTCAAATTCCATTAAAAATGCTCTGTCAATGTGAGACTAAACTGATGATGATGTCAGTTTGGTTCTTATATAACATTCACATATATCAAGTTAAAACCATGATTCAAAAACAGGAGATTCATACATTTGTGATTCTGTGCTTATGTTCATATTACATGCAGTCTTGTCTCCACAAACGTCAAACAGGCCAGTGCTCCAGTTTCCCCCTGTTTGCGTGATGGTGGTAATGGTTGTCGTGGTGACGCCGAGTCCAGGCTGTGTGAGGACCAGGTCTGTCACCGCAGGGGCGTTGTTTGATTTCCAGTTATCTTCACTTCCTGTGGTGAAGCCCCCAATTTCCTGCTCCTGAAATGCAGCTGCTGAGGCTGTAGCGACTGACAGGCCTGGTCTGAAATTGGATTTTGAATTAATTTACCTTTGGATAGATGGTCGATAAATTCAGCAAAGCTGGTCAAACTTCATGCACACAACTGCATGTTTACTATTATAAGAAGATATCCCAAACTAGCCAACAGAGTCTGTTTTGTTTCATTGTTGGCACATATTTCATTTCATTCAATCAGCTAATTTCAATTTCCTACAGCATCATGTTTTATACTCAACTGGATACTATGGAGGTTTAGCAGAGTCCTGCAATTTTGCCAGTATATTCAACTAATATTAGCTTCCCGCTAGTAAAAAAAAAACATTGTAATACAGCATTTATCTGATTTACAGTAACCCTTCGGCAACACTTTATAGCTACAGCAAACTGCAGTGAAGGCAAAATGAAAATCAGTTTAATTTAGTAGCCAGGAGTGTAAAAGCTGGGGTTTCTCCATTTTCTTTGTATTATCATAGAGACATCAAAGTAGAAACACAGCAGGTAAAAAAAAAAAAAAGAAACTAAATAAGATAAGTGAGATAAGTGAACTGATGGCTATAATTCCATTGTGCTCAATAGTTACAACACTGTTCACTGGTAGGGACAAAGAAACACTTACTGGTGTGTGACTGTCATCTGCTCCATGGCTGGAAGCTACTGGCATCCAGAGAGGAGTGAGGCATGGGGATGAGAGAGGAGATGGTGAGTGGGAATGAGAATGGGGATGGGGGCGGGTGTGTGTAGGGGAGAGGGGGCGACTGACACTTCTCCAGTGAGAGGGTGTGTGCTGGTGCAGATAAAGCAGCAGTTGGCTGGTTTGGCCAGAAGCTGTATGACAGAGATAACTTTTGTAGTTGTCTTCAGCCTGAGACTCTACTGTGTCCCCCCTCCTCCTCCTCTAATACAGGAAATGCAGAGAGGGCTGATAAACTTCGGGGTACATAAACACAAAATAATATGATGCTAATGGGGCATACACTTGACACAAGCACACCTGCAGGCTGAAATCTTGTAAAAAGCTCTTATTTGTTTACAGAATTTTCTATAGAATGTAACAAAGATAAAACATACATAAATGAGGAATTCAGTCATACAAATTAATTTTCAAAATTACCCAACATATGTATGCTCAAACTATTCTAAAAATCTAATCCAACAGTTTGACCCATGACATTCATTGGTTAAAAAGACAGTAAACGTTACTCACCCTTCAGGCAGAAGCAGACTGAGAAGTGAAAGATGCATTTGAGAACCAATGCAACACCCACAGTCAGAGGGAACTGATTAGAAGTGAGAGGAGTCTTACATGGTGGAAGGACACATAGTCAAACAATAGTGGGGCCTGGAAACATGAACATTAACTTAACCCTTGAAACAAAAAGGAAGTTTTTTCACTTGGCTGAGCTCCTTTAAAAGATGGTGAAAATGTATTACTGTATATAGTGTCAGTAGTTCTTAGTATGTCTGCTTAGTATTAAATGCTAAACTTTTTCTTTTGAACATCCAGACCTCAGTGGTAACAATTTAGTTTTAATAACCCATGTAATTAGTCAACTGAATTTTATTAGCTATTCTGTCTCATTTGCATATTGTAATTGTGTGTGTGCTGAACTCTTGCAAGCTCCAACTCTTCACAGCTACAACCTCATCAGAAAAGCGTTCACACCGAGTCCTCACACTCTGCACTAAAGGGTTGAAGATCCAGTGACTTCCTATAAAAACCATGACACACCCTCTTCTAATGCATGACCTTAACAAATAAAACAACAAAGCGAGGAGAGGGAGAACACAGAGGATGAATATTTAATAGATTTTATTTTTCTCTGGAAAACAGACAAGAACCACCACTGCTAGGAAATGCGAATGGTTGTCTGGCAGGCTGACAACATGAGAGAACAACATGCTTCACCTACTTAAAAACAAACAAACAAAAAAAAACCACAGCAGACACATTACCATCTTTATGAAAACAAGCATTCAGGAGGACGCAGGAGCAGTCTCACAATATAGTAACATAAAATAAGTGGTTGGCCAGTGACAAAACAGGACATGGTGGTAGTTGTTTATTCACTGCCTTTCAGCAAAAACATTCAAATGCTCTACTATACAAAAAGTTGCTTATTTATTGTGTGTCACAGACAGGAAAAGTAGCCCATGGAGAATACTTATAAGGCTTAACTTTAACCTACCAAACAATAAAAAGAGAATACAAATTCTGGCATTACAGTCCCATACTAAAACATTAGGGGAGGGACTGGGACACTTCCAAAACTGCAGTTTGTTTTCACACCATTAAAGATTAACCTCCCAAACACCCAATAATCTCAGGGTTCTATCAGTGGGACTGAGTTGGAAAGGCCCATAAGCATCTGTTTTGTGTAGACCAAACCCAGATCTGAATGTACTACATCTGTATGAGTCGTTTTGAAAGAGCAAGATAGAAGAAAACTTTTCAGGTCCCATTAGCCCTACATATTCCTTGAGGCCATGTTCAGCAGTAAAAAGATGCTTAGAGTGAGAGGATCTTTCAAACCTAACACTATGTGCAGCAGCTAATGGTGCAAAGACAAATTATAAAACATACATACACTTTTCAGTCAGTCTTCTATGGCTTTGAGTCAAAACTACAAATTTTGTCACATTTCATGATGCATTTGAACCTTTCACCAATGACACACTGCTTAACGTGCCCCCATGTGCCTGTGTGTGTGAGAATGTTACTCTAATGAATGAGATACATCAAAGTGTCCCCAATGTCCACAGTGAGGCCATTGTCAGCCAGAGTGACCCTCTTCTCCTCCAGATTGATGCTGAACAAAGAGTTGTTAGAGATGGGTAATTTCCCCTGTTCCTCCAGTCCCAGGATGGGCACCCTGCGGGGCCCCAGCACAGGGTCCTCATACCTCATCAACTTCACTCTGGACAGGTCTAGTGGAAAGGAGAGAGGCAGAGTCACCAAGGTCAGACATGAGAGACAGGGAAAAGAGAGGAATAGACAAAGGGATGAAAAGCATCCAGACTAAGTGGGAGAAGGTGGCGGTGAGAAATAATGCAGTGATGATGCAGGGACATACAATGAAAAACAGAGAAGGATGAAGTCAAAGTGGTAAAGTGATGAGAGAGACTGAGAAATCAGCAAATAGGGAAGGGAAGGGAAAGAAGAGAAGGCAATAACAGCTACAAAGAAAATCAGTTCATATACGGTATGCTCTTATACAAGCTAATGCGCTTCAACATTATTCAACGTTTATTTACATCTGTCAGCATGTTAAAAGATATAAAACAAAGACAATAGGGAGCAGCTGGAAAGCAAACATTCTGGGAGGGCAGAACACATGGTGTTAGAATGTGAATGGAATGTTTTCTGACATTGCTTATGTGAATATGATGAAAGGTGGTGGGCTGGTTTTGATAACAATACACTGGTAGAGATATCTGCACAGCTGATAATGTGATACCAAAAGAAAGCACCAAGTATTTTTCTAGTCATATTCACACTAGAGCTACTCCCTTCCTCTGAGTCTGTGCACAATGACGGCAGATAGGAAAGAACATAAGGACTGGAGAGGCGAAGGGGACAGATTGAGCAATTGGACATCTCTTCATTAATAAATGTCTTGGTCAGCTGAGCTATTTGAACAAGTAATGGAACTTTTTCCCACCATAAAGCTAAATAATCTGTGCACGCCCTTATCAACTTTAAACCAACAGTGCAATTTTCATTTAAAATGAGCGACTATTTTCATCCTCAGATTATAAAACTCATTTATATTAACGGTCCCAATTAGGGTTTCTAACCATAGTTAATGAAATACTGCTGCATATTCATTTATCTCACTAACCTTTGATGAGTCTGTTGACCTTGGCTAATCTACGGATGATGCTGTCTCTGCTGTCCCCCTGTCGGATCTCAATGTTTGCAGAGAACAGGCCGTTGCACGGCTGAGGGTTGACTAGGGACACACTCACTCCAGGCTGGGTAGAAGGAGGAATGACACAAATGCACAAAAACGCCATGTGATTTTTGATTGGGGTGAACAATAACCATTTTGTTCATCAAGTACAGAAAAAGAGCTGCATGCAGTCAGACACACACCTACAGAGACAAAGTGTACAAACATCTAACAAATATGCAAACACAGAGCAAAGTTGGGTCTTAAAAGTTGACACATGGGCAACTGAAAACGAAGCTTACACCCGTCCTAACACGCACACACAGCCAAAAGCATTTACCTCTGATCTGTAAACGCAGAATGGTTTCCCTGGGCAACAGTCCTCTTTCACTTTGTCGTCAGCCTCAGATGCAAATAAGACGTCTATCTGCTCCAACTGTAGGGGAGGAACAAGGTTATGGGGGAAAAAATGATGATAATCAGCTGATTACTCGCGTCTATCAGAGACTGCACATCCAGGTGTGTTTGGTATGCACACTGGCAGACTCTGGTGGTGTTAATGAGGCTTTTGCACTGATCAGAGACTTAACATCTGGCTTAGACCAATCAGTCATACATTCCTAATCACAGATGGTATTTCGCTGTGAGAGTGTAGAGGACTGCAAACTAGTTGAAGAAGAAGAAGAAGAAGAAGAAAACCGCATTGTGAACAATACATTACGTCTATAGTTTTGTCCTTCACAGAGCATGCTGGCTAAGGTTGGTTTGAATTCAAAAGAGACCAGGTTTTACAGCTGGAACTAAATATCAAAATGTCCACAGAGACTTCTCAAACCGCATAAACCTCTTTTCTGCTGACATTTCTGTGAAGAGCCATCTTTCATGCCCATTCTTTATTTTGTGGTGCATCACTTTGGTGGTACCCCACTCTTAGTGTTGGTTTGGGAGATAAGAGATACATCACCCTTTTTTTTTGAGACACACAACAGCATATTTTTGTATCATTAAGCCTTTTGTGTCTCCAAATGCTGTGTCCATAGCAATGAACAATCAGAAACCTGGGTACTGGATTCAGGGTATTAATTATGAATGTGTAACACAAATATTTTTTGTCTGTGGCTAAATCTGTGCTGACTTCTTAGAGGTATTTTAGGGTTTTAGTTTTTGACTAGGCTAAGCTTCTGTGCAGACTAAAGCATTAGGAGCTTTCCTGAGTAGTAACTGAGCTCGGGTGCCTCGGTACCTTGCACAAAGCAAAGCTCAGCTTTAAAGGCCGATGTAATTTTGAGAACCCAAAATGCTTTAACTGCATGTTATAGCTTGACATTTAGGTAAAGACAAACAGAACCTGATCAAGCAAACATATTCTGTAAATTGCACACATATAGGAGAAGCTGAGATGATATTTGCTGCCTGTGGCTGTTGTCTAACCTTTAACAAAGCTCTGGGCTCACAAAAGTGTTTTTGGTTGGGACAGAGAGCTTTTTGAGTGGGGTCTGCATTAAATGTTATGCTTAACTTGAGGACTGACGGATAACAAAATATACCTCCAGAGAATTAGTTAAGTAGACCAAGTTCTCCATTAGAACTGCCCGCTCGTCAAACTCCAGCTCCAGATCCAAAACCCTGGGTCCATTCTGCTCCAGGTTCTCCTAAAGAACACACAGCAGAACCCAAATAGTCAGAATCACAGTGATGGAAATGGAAAAAAAAAATAATCTAAAACTCTCCTGGGTATAAATTGAGTTTTTAAGAT